AACAGGAGAAGACTTGATACATGGGGTTAAAAGTGTAAAGAAACAAGATCCATTCTCCTTTCAAGCATACATTAAAAATATGACTACACTGCAGACCAAAGAACTAACTCTGCAAATGTAATTTCCTATCTCCCAGAACTCTCTAATTTAATTGTATAATCTCTTTCATAAGATTATCAAGATCTATCTCAAAACTACCCTAATTGAAAGACTCTTATGCAACTTCAGTCTTTGGGTAGCTACAAGGTTTCTTCTAATTCCCCACCCAAATTTATTCATGACCAATTTAGAAAATTTGACCTAGTGCAGATGCTATCTTTTAGCTTATTTTTTTCTGCCGTCTTGCTATATAGTGGCAATTGTGTGTATGCAATAAAGTATTGCAGTAAAATACTGCAATGTAGCCTGTCCCTTTCACTGGCTCACCTGGCTAGAGCTAGGCAAATGATGCTCTTTAACCTCACTTTGTACAACAGATGGTCTGTTTGTGTAACCACATCTCTAGCCCTCGTACCACTGTAACTTAATATTTTCTTGACGGGGTGTTTGGAACTATGCAAAACATCAGTAAACCACTCCAAAAGCAATGTGGAGCTCTTGTATTGAAACCCTATACGATGATTTGTACAATGACTGTCATCACACTTCCCTGAATTTCTCATATTATTTTCCTTTGGTATCCAAGGATGTCAGTGGTCCCCTTCCCAGCTGTATCTCAGCGCTTGCTCCCACGTATTTTCTGAGCAGCCACTGCATCCACATCTCTTCCCTCTGTCATGGACAACTGATGAGCTCCTATTTCACACTGGAAATTCTTGTTATTGGTCTCTATGCTTACAACTTTACTTGGCTTTGCACTTAGCACTATTAAATGTCATTTTATGTCTATCACTCCCAATCAACAAAGTAATCTAAATTCCTTTCATGTGATAATCTGATCCTCCTCTGTACTGACAATACCTCCCAAGTTTTTGTCATTCCACACCTGGGCACACACCCAGACCCTGCACACAGGTCAGAGCAGATCCATTCAACAGGCCCAAGCCTGGCCCAAGCAAGCAACACCACCAATCTCCCTCCATCCTGATGACTTTCTCTGAATACCTCTTTCCATTCAGACAACTTTATTTGCATGCAATGGTCGTATCTTTTCTTTGGCAAGGTTCTTTTCCACCTTTCAATTCTTGTCTTGAACCACCATCTTCATTTTAAGTCATAACATCCTGTGGGGCATGGTATCACATGCTTAGCTTTAGATAAATGACATTCCTATTCTACCCCACCTAAATAATATGTTACACTAAAAACATGTTAGTCTAATACAATCCATTTTTGATAAAATCTTGTTGTAATTTATCCTGCTTCCTCATTTTTCCATGTCTAATTAATCTTTCCTACAAAATACATTATGAGACACTGGGTACTGTACTGGGCTAACGTTTCCTGCACTGTTTTTTTATTTTCTGACTCTTTAAGGACTCCCTGTAAAGGACACAAATGCTTGCCCTCTTCTGCATCTGAAGAGACATGGGAGAGCCTTGCTGCAAACTATGCAAGCCTTGTGCCACTGCTTTCAGCATTCCAGGACAGGGATTATTGGCACCTCTTCATTTGTCTCACCAAGATATTTAAGTTTTGCCTATTTTCCCTGGGTTTTTTTGAAACGTTTGCTATTAATAGATTTCAATTGCCTGCAGATCTGTCAGTAATTACACTCTGTAATCTGTTCCAGATTCTACAGAAGGTTCTGCTTTCATGAGAAAGCTGTGTCATTATTTAGAGTTCCCCTTCCAGCTTGGTATGTCTAATTTCAGTTCTGTGTAAATTGACTAAGTGCAGGTTTTGGTTGAACCCAAATAAGCTCATTTGAACCAAAATAAGAATTCCCTTACACAAGGTCATATTAGGTTAATCAAATCACTTTAAAAACAGACAAACTAAATTGGTGTAATTTCCCCATGTACACAAGGCCAAAGACAATAAGGAATATGAAGTAGGTCAAAGTCAAAGTTAATTGCACACGCGTTTGTGGTTTGACTAAATCTGGTGATTCTGAGTCTAGGCAGATGTGCAGCCAGCGAGCCCAGCTGTGCACAGAGCTCTTGTTGGAGCCTGTCATCACCTCAGCCTCCCTTAAATATGGACTTAAGTGAGACTGAAGTAAGAATAAATAGCACCTTGCAGGACTTTTCCATAGGGACATTGCTCCTTCAGCTTCTGTGCCATGGGGCATATAGGCCATACACTTTTGGCCTTACCAAAGTAGCAGTGAAACAAGGCAAAAACCAGAATGGCCTCAGCCTGGGCTGAGGATGGGACAGAGCTGGTGGACCTACAGCCAGGTAAGCCCATCATGAGAGCCATACTGGTGGGCACAGAGCTGCTACTACAGCAGTACATGGCAACAGCTGAGCCAGGACTCACTTGGAAGAAGGGTGTCATCCAGGTCCTAACAAATAAATACAGTTATTGTACCTGCCTGACTTCCCTGACAGAGATTTGTCACTGAGGTGATAGAGAGGTCTATCATTTCAGTAATACCAGAAAACAGTGGTTCATACTGTTTTGGTTTTTCTAAGTTTTACTATTCTGTTTAAAGCCATATTATTTCACTAGGATCTGTAACTGTTCCAGTACAAGCCTGAATTCAGTTTTCTGATAAAGGCACATAGCTTATTTTTCCAGTCTTGAAAGAATGATCTATGCTGACATTAAAACCTTTGTACCATTACATGTGAGTCTTGGGAGGTTGAGTAATTTAGGACAAAACAATGCAACTTCTGTGCACAAACAAGTCCTGGCTCCAAACTGTAAAGACATCCTACCAATATTTTGATACTACTAACTAGCAGAAGTTGGATTTGACATCTGCATCCTCAACGTAATGCCATTTCCTCCATCATGAGACTTTAATTATGAACTACTCATTTGCTAATTTTAATCTTTGAACTATTTTTGCGTACTTGACATATGTCTTAAATTAGAAAAATAATGTAATACAGATATAGTCTCAGTGGCTAAACCTCAGGAACCATCACATACCTTATTGAAGTTTGCAGTTTATAAAAAAAATTTCAAACCAATTAACCTCTAAATCAAGTAACTGTAATCCACAGCTTAGAATGATCAGGATAAGTGAGCAGCAAGCAACCATTCTTAGCCATTTTCATTTTTCCTATTACCTCTTCCAGAAAAATTCTAAAGATTTGGTAGTACACGTTTAGCCCAAGAGATAAAAATACCTCCCTTCCACACAGATTTCAACTTTTGGCTTTCTCTGGAGCTTCCTGTCCTCATTAGTGCCTGCTGTGTTTGTCAGGGCTCCATCAGCTGCAGAGTCCCAAGTGCTGTTGTTCTGGTTGTCCCTGGTGCAGCTGGCTTACTCTGATTAGCATATTAGAGGAGAATGATCTCCTTTTGTTTTGTTTTTAATACTGTTTCTAAAAAATTCAAGATCCAAATACATTTTTCTAACTGAATGACTATGGTGAGGGATTGCAGCCTAGGAAGTTTATAAAAATTACACAAAAACCCAACTAAAACACCACATTGTCAGACATTCGGTACCAGGGCTTCACACTGCGTACTCCTGAAAGTGTCTGCTGCTTTAAAGAGCATCCGTTAGATCTGTGAGGACTGTAAAGCCTACATATCAAACCCATTAAGAGCTAGCTGTCTCTTTAAGCCAAATTCGCATTTCCAGAGCTAGGGATTAGCCAGCAGTGATCCAGCAAAATAAGGACAGGGGAGCACCCGCATTCTGCTCAAAAATGAAGGAAGTGACTCCTCAGATTTTCTCATGTATACACCAGAACATCTCATCCCTCTAGTGAAATCAGCACCACAGCTTTCACTGCACACAGCAAAATAAACCTCAGCTAATAAATAACCCTACCCTCCTCAGGCAGATAAGGCATAGGGCATTTTAACAGCTTTGATTTCAGGGACATTATTTCCGGGGCCACTCCCCTGCTGAAGGAGACAACTTCATTCAGAGATCAGGGGTAGCTGGCACTTGGGTGCTAGTTTTGTCCCCGAAAAGGGACTGATGTGCTGGACTTCTCCAAAATCCACAGAGCAGGGGCCTGCCTCTTGCCTTCGGGGACTGTGGCACTTCACAAAGGACTACAGTTCTTCAAACCGCGTGTGATACCTCACTGATGAATCACAGAGGGCTCAGCTCCGACCTGTGCTTCCAGTGCGAGCTACCCAGAGCAATCACTTCACAATTTGTTCCACTAAGGACCAAAGCGTGGAGTTATTATTCACAAATCTATGGCTGAAACGTGAGGGACTTTCAAAGCCTTTGTAATTCCCCACTTATAATGTAAACATTCTGTAAAATCAAATGACACAACAACTCTGGTTTGAAGAATGACTTTTCAACCTGGATTTTAGATGTTATTTTTAGGTGCAAGACTCATTTCGAAGGTTTTTCTCCACATTGTTTTCAGTCAAACACATTCCTTGAACGACGAACTTCAACACAGAACGATCAGACCCATTTCAGTCTCCTGAAAATCGGTTTCCGTCAATCCCAAATCACCGCAGCTCTCAGCTGCTCTCATCCCGTGGCTACTCCCGAGTAGCTCCATGCGCCGAGGTCCGTGGGCACTGAGGGACGGGGATGTTGGTGGCCGGCCTTGGGATGCACCGCACTCCTGCATCCCGGTCCCGGTGCCCCCTTCCCACCCGCCCTCTATAGCCGGAGCCCCCCGGACACCCTGCGCTGCGTCCTGTGCCCGTCTTGACAGTACACGGATTTTTAAAGGAAAAAAATCAGAAGACTTGAGGCTATCAGTTTTCATTTTCAGAACTTACCTGGGACTGTCCAGGCAGTGTCCGTCGAAAGTAGGGTGGAGCGCCGAGTACCGCGTACTGGCCCTGCAGCAGGGGCTTTTCCGGGGCTGCCCCCGCTCCCCGCGGGCTGCAAGTGCGGAGACCCTCCCTCCCGCACTCCTCACCCCAGTAGGGTTCGTGGCCCCCACGGCCGTACGTACCGTCTAGGAAGATGGGCGTCCCGGAGCTGCTCTCAGTGCCATGCCCAGCCCTGGCGCGGTGCCCCGCCGGCGACAGGGGTTACCGCTCGCGGCGGGGTCCCGCTGCTCGGCGGTAACATGGCATGAGCGCGGGCAGAGCAGGGGGCAGTGCTGGCAATGCGCGGCGCGGGGGTGGGCGCACGGGGGATGCGGGCTGCGGGCAGCCTCGGCGGGACTTGTGAAACTCGGCTGTGGCGGCTGGTTGTGTAACGCGCCGGGCTGGGCCCGGCCCCCCGGCACTGCACAGGCGCGCTGCTTTCCCGCCCCGCCGCCACCGGCACCCGCAGCCGACACCCGCGGGCAGAGTGCGGGCGTGGGGCGGAGTGGAGCGCAGGGGAGGAGCGCGCTGGGAGGAGCGCGCGGAGAGCAGCGCGCCTCCGCGGGCGCGGGGTCCGGACAGGGCCGGGCAGGTGACGCGGGAAGCGGAGGTGTCGTGCGCCGAGAGGAACCGGCGGAAAGTAGGTCACCGCCGCCGATCCGCGGGTACCGGCCTCGGGGTGGCCCCAGCCGCGGGGTCCTGCCGGGACCGGCACGTCTTCCCTCCGTGCGCGGCTCTCGCCGGGCGCCGCGGAGTGCGGCCCGGCTCCGGCTGCCCCGACGGACCCCGCGGCCCTTCTGCGCTCCGTGCCAGGCGTTCGGCACCGTTTCTCTGCGCAGCACGAGCTGTGCCCTGACGGGATTAGTCATCCCGTAGCATGAGTCACCCATTTAATATTTGCCGCTTCCTTCCTCATAGGTTTTTTGGGTTTTTTTAAATTCCTTTTCTCCACTGTAACTATTTACCCTCCTCTCCAAGGACAGCGGGCAGCTCCTTTCCCCTGCCCGCGACTTTCCCCTGCCCGCGACTACAGCGCGCGCAGCTGCGGGCGCGGAGCTGCAGCCGGCGGCAGGAGCAGTGGGTCCCGTTGGCGCGGCCACGGTATCGCCGGACAGTCGGGCTGGGGCCGCTGCTCAGTCGTGACATGTGGTCCTGCCCATCGCCAGGTTTGATTTATGCTCCTCTTGTATCTGGAAGCAGTAGGTACCACACCTGGGGCATTAAGCCTGTTCTGAAGTCCCTCTCTTCTCAAGGCGCTGCTGGGTGGGGACCAGCGCTGCGGCGGGAAGCCACTCGTTGACGCCGCAGTTGGGACGACTTGGGAGAACATCGCTGGGTCCCTGACTCCGGCCCCGGGCTGCTCCAAGCAGCTTCCAAAACTCCTTTACCAACAAGTTAATTTTTTAAGGTGCTTTTTTTTCCCCGCCCCACTTCAGGTCCTCTTGCAAAGCTGCTCCTTAACCTATGCAATGCTGGGAGAGCTGCTCCCTCTGGGAGCACATTACTGCTAGAAGCCCTTTCCCACAGCTGGCATCCTCACCGCTGGCTTTCTTTGCTGAGCTAAAATTCCTGTTCCTCTTCCAGCCCTCGTTCTGCTGGATAAAAGGGGCAGGCCATGCAAACAGCCTGCGTGGCCCCATCCCCACAGGTGCCTGTGCCCCAAAGCACAGTACGGGGGACAAAAGCAGAACCACAAATGGGACAGTGGACAAAATACTTTGCTATGAGGTTTTTAATATGGACCTGATGCCAGTGAGGAAAGGGAAGTGACTTTGTTACAGCAATAACCCTGAGGAACATCAGCTGTTATTGATGAGGACATGTAAAAGGGCACCTTTGCATGAGGTTAATATTTCTTACTTACTTTCCTATAGGAGGCAAAGAAAATAGCTTGGTTGTGCTGCCTGCCACAAGTGGCAAATCTCTTTTTCTCACTTAGGGTGGGTTTTTGAGGTACACGGCCTTGTCATGCAAAACACAGCAACCGTTCCCTCATTCATGTGATAAAAACCCTTCCTGTTCACTTTCAGGTGAGATAAGAACAGGTATCAAATGCGGCATTTCTCTCCACTTTCACTTGGGTTAAGGTGTGTCTCTGCAGCCTGCAGTGCAGCCCTGTCACAGCAGTGACCATCACCAATGGGATGTCACTGCCGCCCTACATGGGCATGCAGATACACATTTGGGGAAGTAGATGAGGAATGATGAGGACATCGAACTCTGTGACTGCGGCACTTTAAGATTAACTACCCACAGACGGATGGGTGGGAAGTACAGGCAGGCAGGATGTGGCCCCGAAGAGGCTGTGGTAGGTTTCCCCTAAAGGTACAAGTGCCACAGCCACTGCCCTGAGTTGTGCTAGCAGCTGGCCAGGGGTGCTGGCACTGCTGGGACACTTCCATGATCACCCCCCATCCCACATACCTGACAGGCACAGGAAACAGCATCAACCCTGATGCCTTCAAATAGAGCAGATTGTTCAGAATTACCACTTTACTTCATAAAAAAAACAATATTTGCTGACCAGAAATCATGTTTTACTTGAAGTGTTTCAATAAACTCCCCTGCAGTCCCTGGCAGGTAGAGCTAGCAGACTGGGCAAATACAGGGGCCTCTCCTCCTGCAGCAATGGTGAAGGAGTTTTCATATCAATTACTTTAATTCTCTCATTTAGAATAACACACTTTCCTCCAAGATCTTTCAAAAAGTTAAGAAAGAACAGGGAAACAGACATATCTGCCACTGCAAAATTCACACATTTTTCAGCAAGTTGTGGCGTTGGGCAGCTTTGGCTGTGCTCAGCAATAGTTGGCATAGCCTCAAATTTGTTTATATTGTTAGTTTTTGACAGTGCTGCATTGCAGAGACATGCCAGCAGCAATAAAACCAAGAGAGAGCTGGTTTTGGCCAGAAAATAAGAACATCAGAGAAAAAAAATTATCTTTCGTGTTCTTATATATATTCTTGTGTATGTTTTTATATGTGTTTTTGTGTGTGAAGTGTATATATATATATATATTTATATACATGTACATACATGTATATATACATTATATATATATATAAAACCCAGCAGCCTGCCCCTGCTGCACTCGCCCAGTGGATTGGGAGATCCTGCAGCCTCACAGACACCACTAAGGAGCAACATAATTAAATGAAGAACTAGAAGGATACCTTGGCCTGTATTTTGGAAGCTCATACTCCCATTCGCTATCTATCATCCCGAGCGAAGGGTTGTCCAAACTAGCTTTTAAATTACACACTGCAAAAACTCCTACCCAGGAAATGCTTGCGTTGTTCAGTGCTAAGTCAACAACCAGTCCCGGATGAGGCACCTCAGCCTTGTCTCCCTCCAGAGTGTGCCCAGAAATTCAACGGGATGCTTTTCCCTTTTCACGCAGTAGTAAACGTGAGGCTTGGGATCAGGGAGATGAAAAGAGAAGAGAGGAACTGAGATGACAAAGAGGAAAAAGCACCCTTGCCTTGGTCCGAAGTGGCTGTTTCTGCGCAGGTTCCCCGGTGGCTATGGGATGCGGCAAAGAGCGGAGAGCTGGAGCGGCTGAGCCCAGCTAGCGCTCGCCATGGGAAGGTGCGGACGAGGGCCGCGGGAGCCCGTTCCCGGCTCTGCCCAAGGCAGGGACACAGAGTTAATTGTGTCAGTGCTATTGCACAACACTGTTGCCTTGACACTGTGTCATGTAAAGATTTTAAACTGCCTCTTTATTAGTCATCCTCTATTCATTTTAATTGTGCCTGATAAGCAGGACCATTTCACCTTTGTGTTCTCTGTATGCACTTATCGTGCATATTTATGTAGCCCAAGAGACTTTCAATCTCTTCCTGAAGCGTTGGTAGGTGCAGAGGAATGAGGAGGCATTGCCATCACAGCCTGCTGGGGTTCTCACTGTTTGCTTGCTACATTTTCAGAGCCCTGCTCTCCCAGTGTGGGCATCTCCACACGTCCTTGATCCTGGCACCAAAAATGCTCTGACTTAGATTAAATGCCTGGGAACCAGTAAGAAGGGATAGGCTGATTGCAACATGCACCTAATTTTTTTTTTCAGGATCAAGTGCTGTAGGTGTGTGCTTGACACCACGGGACTCACTTTGATCTTCTCCCAGGACAGAATTTTCTATGGATTAAATTCTTGCCTCTGAATTAGGGTATTGGTTATTTAACAAAATCAAAGCTGGGAGATGAATAACTAATTATTTGATATAATGCAAAGAATACAGTGAAAGTTTTTGAATATTTTAGTCTCACTTATTTGCAACATAAAAATATACTGCCTGAGAGTTTACCTGTGTGAACTCTGTCCCTGAAATTCCTTATCTAGCCTTATCTTTGTGAAGTCTGAAGTTTCACTGAAAGTTTCTGGAAATAGTGTGTTTTCCCTTCTATGGTATTATGACCTTCTCCTCACCTCAAACATCCCCTGTGTTTTCAGTGGGAGAAGGAAGGGCCCTTTGGCCAGGGACAATACTGCCTTTCCATAAGGGCAATGCAGCCAGGTGTCACAGCTGCTTCCATAGTACCTGGAGCACTGCAGAGACTGTTTGCTTAGAGCGCACGTCTGCTTCAGGAAAGGTAACAGAGCCCTTCTCCATCTGGAAATGGATCTATTCTCTGGGTTTATTTCGTTTCACCTTAATTTTCCCCATTAAAAAAGGCTCAAAGCTCGAATTCAGGTTTGAACCAGAATCATGTGAGAAGATGGGTAAAATCCCATTCCCAATTAAGTTCAGAAAAAGGAATGGAAATGCCATTAAAAGCAGAACAAAAACCACATTTACTCCAGTATGAACAGGATTTCCCCCCAGCATAAGATCTTGCATTCCTGTGGGCTGAAATGAGCTTCTCACTGTCCTACCCAGCATCTTTGAGGGCCACTTTGAATATTTATCCAGCTGCTTAAAAGTATTATGAACATACATGGATCACCATTTAGGACAAAATTCCACCTAAGCTCTTGAGAACCAACAGGAATATTTTCATTTCCATCATCCAGGACCTTATTTTGTTAGAAAATTGTTTAAGATGGTTCTTATAGAGGCAACAGTAGTACCTAAATTTTGTGCATATTTAAGGCCCTGTGTTGGGCCACTCCCTTGTGCTGGAGTAATACCTTGTCCAGATAAATGAATGTATTAATTTGAAAATCTGAGAAGTGCCCAAGTCATATTTTTGGCCCAGAAAAAGATTAAAGAATACCTTACATGTGGTTGATCATACTTCCAAAAATAATTATTATTTTTATAAAGGAAAAAAAGTATTCTGTCTTAACTGCAGTAAAATATTCTCTGAGAAGTATTCTTGTGATCTGTTATTCTGCCTAACTCAAAGACAGGAAGAGGGAAACTTGCACAAACAAGAGCATGGTTGCCTTCTCCTGTCCATATCCTTACATGAGAGCACACAAGCTAAAGCTAAAGCTCTTTGACTACATTTTATCTTGATCCCACAGGATGATGTACCTTTGAATTAATTTTCTTTGATGCTTGGTTCATATCTTCTAGACTGTGCTGAAGACAAATTCAGACTACTGCATTTAAATATGGGTTAAGTCACCTCTGATTAGTATAATCAGCTACCAAGGAGCCTCTTGAACAGGGACATAAAATAGAAACTTAATAATAATTATGTTAAAGGCACAAATCCCCCTGAATTCAGTAAGCAAAGGACAAAGGAGCAGAGGGAGCACCAGGCAACAGTAGCAGCTGCAGTACTGCCCTTGGATGAAGCACAGAGGAAGAATAGACAAGTCAGTGCAGAATTACTGTCTATTATCTGCAAGTGCATCCTTCCTAATACATCATAGTGGTTACTACTTAGCACATTAAATCCACATTGATAAACATGGATATTTCCTATTAATACTTATGCTGAGCTTTATTCATACGAGGTGGTAACGCTTTAAAGCTTCTTTCTGGTACTTGTCCATTCTGTTACTTGATCCGATACACAGCATTTGGGAATAGTGCAGGTCAACTATTCCTCTTGCACTGAAGGTTTCCACTTTGCCTCTTGGGCCTTAGGGCACATGCAAAGGTAACATTATCATATCATAGTTTTCAACATATTGGATTAGAGCAGCAGCTTGTGCTCCAAGACAAAACCTAATGAGCTTCTGTCCAAACATACCAGATGGAAAGTTCGCCTTGTCACCTGGACTTCCTACTGCAACCCAGGGTCTGACCAGACACCGAGGTTGTACCTGTGGGTAACAAAGGACACACTTGTTGGGAAGGCTGTGCTGGTACAGGAGCTGCCTCCGTCCATACCTCCTCATCTTTCTCACAGCTACTGTCATTCTCCTCCTCTGTTCTGCCTGGACTGGGCTATGGCCAGGGGGCTCCCAGATATATCCTAATCTCCTCCCAAAACTGGGTGATTGGGTCAGAAAGTGGCATTAGGGTGGCTGTGACTTGCAGGCAGTTCCAGAAGCCCCACTTGCCCCCTGTGCAGCCTTGCTGGTGGGAAAACATTTCCTCTGCAGAACTACCTGCAATAGGGTGCTGAGAGAAGCTACTGCTGATTTCACTTTGTAAGGAAAGCAAATTCTTTTCATGACCAAGTGACCTGTGTGGCCCTTTCCCAGCTCTGTACAAGAAGGCATTAAAATCAAGACTATTTAAGATGGATAAGGATGCAGCAGAAGGCAGGGCATTTGTGTGGAGAATACAGTGGGGTTGACACTTCTACCACACCCTGGTTGGCAAACACTGAAAAAACAATACAAGTATATCTGTGTATATCTGTGTATGTACCTAATACAGTGCAAACTCACTCACCTCAAACAATCACTATGGAAAGGCATAGTTTGACAGTCAAATTATAAATGTCAAGCAGTGGCTTTTTAGGCAAAAGCTGTGCCAGCCTCATGGTCCGAGGGACTGCTGACAACACAACCCAGACACTGTAAAAGACAGAAGCCTGAAAGCACAAGGCCCAGGGCAGGGCTCTCCAAACACCTCCCTTAATGTTCTTTTTAGGATACGTAGAAAAGAAAATGTATGTCCTTCATCCCTGCACCAAAGTCAACAGGGTTCTTGGGTAATGTCCACTGTTTTCCTTCTGCCTTTCTTTAGGAAAACACTGAAACCTTCTAAATAATTTCCTGAATGCATAAAACAGGTGGATTGATATTCAACAGAGATTTTGCCCAGGGAGCAGGATGGACTGAAACCTTCACGAGTTGCTGAGGCTATGCCACTCTGCTCAGACCTAAACAAAAGCAAGCTAAATTGCAAGCCTATGAGATTTTATCACTGTTTTACCACAAAATGATACTGAAATGTGCAAAAAAATACTCAGAACTGTGTGGTATGTTACTGCACTCTCTACTCACAGAAAAGCTCATGCTTTTTCTGGGCACGGGAGAGGTGCTGAACACCATCAGTGGATTGCTTATGGTACTGGAAACTAGTATTATGTGACAGATTTTGTCTACAAGCAGTGTTGCAAAAAGTCATCCCTAATAAGAGGAAATAAATCTCTAACTAACATGGAGAAATCAGGTTCATTATGCAGCTCTAAGTGATGGCATTTTTGTGTGTCTGTAGAA